TTTTTTATCAGTGTATTCTTTAGAAGCACTTAGTACTTCTTTGATTATAGTGATCACTAAATTTTTTAGTTCAGAAATTATTTCTGATCTTATTTCTTCTATACCTTTCTGCAGTTGTTTCTTTACTGCCAACGCTATTATTTCAGAGATATCTGGTGTGTGATTTCCAGTTTCCTCAGTGCTAGTGTCTTCTGCAGTTGTACTGGGTGGACTTGCGGCCTGAGACTACATTTTGTTCCTTCTCTTTGTCATTTTATATACCACTGTCTTCTGACCTTTGGTGTAGACCTTAGATAGAGTTATCACCTAGCACCAGGTCCGGATCTACGAAGTTCAGATTCCTCCAGATGGGTGTTGTTTGGATCTAGTTGCTGTGCTCCACTTCTTTCTGCTGCAGCCATTAGAGTTGAACCCTTTGTGTCTCTCTGGCAAGATGTTCTGCTCCTGAATCACCTGGGTGGGTCTTGCCTCAAGCCTCTTTGCAGGGGGTTCTGCTGAAGGGTTCCTCGCTGGGACTGCACTCTGGGTCGAATGAAGATCCACGGGCCCTGGGTGGTCTCACTCACATGCCTGCGCTCTGGGTCTATTCAGGATCCCGCAGCCCCAGGCAGTCTCACTCCTAGCAAAATACTTTGTAGAGGATGTTGGACACCAAATCTTGGCTCTTTGGACTAGGGATGGATTTGCTCTTTCTTGGAAGCCATAAGGTTGTCAAATTGGGAAGAAGCAAGGGGAGCAAGTGTAAGTCATCAGATACAGCATGTGTGAGAGGTGTTGCCAATTGAGGATTCAAAAAACAAAATCCAAGCTGGTCATATTTTATCCTGACAAAATGCTGAGATGGGATCCTTTGGGGGATAGAAAAAGTGGGGGGAGTGTAAGTTGGAGTATGGTGTCTGTACACACACCTGCCTACACATATGTACTAGTGTGTTTGGATGGGACTCAGGACTATGCCAGGCAACAAAGGATATGAATGACAGGGACTTCTGGAGGTCAGGAGTTCCGTCTGGATTCCACCCCTGGCTGATGCATGCTGCATCCCACAACCCCGAGAAGGGTCCTCGGTAAACATCTGCAGGGCTCTGCAGGCGCTCTTCCCTCTTCCAGCCTGAGCCCACAGCGCCTAGGCCTCAAGAGTGTCCTGGCTTCGTCACAGAGCTGCTGCCGCCCTCTTCTGGGGGAAATGTGTTCACTGTGCAGCACTGTCCTGTGTATTTGTCAAGCTTAGTTTTTCAAGGACCTGCAGCTCTACAGGCCTGAATGATTTTCAGGACAGACCAGGTAGCTTGTGCTTTGAGAAAAACCCTATTTCTGGAGATAAAGTATATGATCACACATTCTCGAGAGGGGTTTGTTTGGTTTTAAGGGAATTAAAAGTCAGATTATTCTGTTAAGGTATCAACACAATGAAAGATGACATTGGAGATGAGAGAAGTTGAATCTAGACCAGCCATAAGCCTTGAGCTTTGGCCTTTGGGGCCTCAGTTTCCTGTTTCGTAAAATCAGGATGTTAAACTGGGCCCATTGTTTTCTAGAAGGGGTAAGGGGTGTCAGCAGATGAGGCACCGAACCCCTGCCCCTCCTAGGACGGGCTAAGAAGCTCTCTGAGCTATTTTATTTATTGAGCATCAAATAAGATGATGCAGGAAAAAAATGTCCTCTGAAGTCTGCAAGCCCCAGGATTAGATGCTTTCCAAGATCTCTTCCAACTCTAATATTGTGATTTTATGGACTTGAAATTGAGTCAGAAACTTGAAAGCTAAAGTCACACTGCCAAAAATGTCTCCGTAAGCGCTGTGGATGTTTTGCAGGCGGACAGTCCAGAGGACATGCACAGCTGGATTAAGGAGATTGGGGCAGCAGTCCAGGCCCTCAAGTGCCACCCCAGAGTAAGTCAGTCACTTCCTTCCTGTGTTGCAGTGCCGATTGAGAGAGAAATTCTCTTTAAGCGGGTGTGTTTTATTTGGTGTTGTAGGCAAGCAGCCCAGGATTTATATGCAGCTGAAGCCACAGGCTGACTTGTTTGTTTTTCTCTTTTTCACTAATTTGGGTACAAATTTTTCTTTCTTTCTTTCTTTTTTTTTTTGGTTGGTGGTGAGACAGGGTTGGACAGAGACATGGAGTTTCTGATGTGTCTTACAAGTCTTACTGTGAGCAGACCCTGACTCATGTAGAGTGAACTTGCCAAACTTTTTATTTAGTTTTGAGACAGGGTCACACTGTGTTGCCCCCACACACAGTGGTCCTTCTGCCTCAGCCTCCTGAGTACTGCGTGCCACCATGCCGGCTCTGCTGTTTGATTTTTGTACACAGCTGTCTCTAAACCTGTGAGATGGTGATCCTGGGTGGGTACTCTTCCTGGGACTTTGAGAAAACACTGACCTTTCCTTTCCTTTTCTTTTATGTGTTTCTAGGAAGCATCTTTTTCTAGATCCATTTCTTTGACTCGACCTGGAAGCTCCAGCCTCACAGGTGGGCCTAACTCTGTCTTGTGCCGAGGGCGGCCTCCTGCAGAAGACAAGAAAGCCCTCTGCAAAGCCCCCTCAATGGCCTGTTCCTGGCAACCTTGGACACCTGTCCCCCAGACTGGAGAAAAGCTGCTGCCAGCAGAAGAGACTCCAGAGGACTGTCTGTTCCTGCCCCGACTGGCAGAGAGCAGCATTGCTGGGGTGTTGCCAAGCTCCCGGATAAGGCATAGATCAGAGCCCCAGCACACCAAGGAGAAGCCGTTTCTGTTTGACCTTGACGATGAAAGCATACGGACCTCTGATGTGTGATGAGGCGCAGTGCATGGGAGGGGAGGGAGGGAGAGCTGGACAGAAGGTGGCCAAGATTCATTTTCTCTGCCTTGTTGCAGGTCAGAGGCCCTTGTGGCACTCATATTCCTGTGGATGTCCTATGGGAGGGTTCATGCAGCTGGCTTTTTTGATATTATCAATGCAGTGTATTTAATTTGGGAAAATTACTAGGTTTGACCTGTAGCATATACTCAGCAGACACTATGTTGCCTCTTGTGGGACTTTTCCAAGGTCTTTCTGGTGGGGGATTGATTTAGCATCTCCTCTCTGGAAGTGGTATGGAGTCCAGTTACCCCACTAGCCAAGTTCTGGTTTTTTTGTCCTTGTTTTAGCTTTTTCCTTTTGTTTCAATCCAGGCATGGGATCTTAGGCCAGTCACCTGGTTTTATCCTATTCTTGTTACGTGGCTTGTGAAGTAAGAGGGTGGCAGCTAAATCAGGTGAAAGGAGTTGGGGTAGAGAAGATACAGGCTCTAGCTGGACTGGGGTCCACTCCAGGAGGTGATTGAATCTGGGGGTGCTGGAGGGCAGATCCCCCAGGGGGCTTCCAGGGAAAGAGATGGGTGTCTCGTGTGAGGTCTGAGGAATAGTTCAGTGCCGGTGCATCAGCTGGTTTGGGAAATTACTGTTTCTTTTTGGTGATCTGTAACCTCCCAGTGCTGTAGATGTAGGTGACAGACCATCAGTCCAGTGACTTTGTCCTTCCCCAGAGTGGGCTTATCAGTGTTAAGTGCTATGACTGTTGAGAACAGAACAGACATTTCCTTGATATGGTGTTGGTTATTTGAAATGTGTGGAGGGCTGGTGTGTGATAATTCATGTGTGTGACAGATTGATCTCTATCTCAGAGTTTTAGAATAGTTTTAAAGGAGGTGTTAAGATGAGATGGATGATAGTTGTCCTGCTAAGCTTTTTGAATCCATGTTTTCCAGACAAAAAAAGTTCTAGTCTCCTTGAATGAACCATTTGTCTGATATTAAGTGCTTTAGAGCATATACCCTGAAGATTTGCTTTCTTTTTATCCTTTGTGTTGCTCGTTGAATGCAGCTGTGTGTGCTTGCATGATCAAATCCTGTGCTGAGAAGTGGGGAGATACAAAGATAATCCTGTGATATTTATATTCTTTAGTGGAATAGAGACTGGGCATAAAAACATTGATTTAAAGGTTTTGACTTGCTAGTGAGAGATTTCTCAAGTAGAAGAGCATAGTAGATTGCTCCCATATATGGGTTTTTCTACTCATATTCTAGGGTTAACCTTCTCCCTTGGACAAGACACAATTTCCAGGGCCCTTGGGAGCATTTATCTACCCAGCTTCTACAGTAACTTGCTGTCAGAAACTTTGGGGGATTCCCAAAGGGAGAGAGTACTTAGCTCATTGCTATCTGTAATTTTTACTTGTTAGATCAATTAACTATATTTTAAATTAAAAATTAATGACTAGAGGAAGAAACTAAGAGAAGCATTTGTTTGTGGGTAAATCCCTACTCCTCCTTGTGTCCACATCTGGTATAGAAGTGAAAACTCCATGAAAGGGTCATTCGTGTTTGGAGGAAAGGATGTTTGTCCTGGGCTACGTGGCCTTTGAAGTGTGGGTCACACGCAGCTTTTTCTGCCTTCGCTGCACTGGAGCGTTCCTTCACTTCAGTTTGTCCTGTAGTCCTGATCTAGAAAAGAAAATCTATGAAGTCTCTCCCCTCCTCTCCACTTTCCCTTTCTTTTACAAATGAAACTCTTGTATACTTTTGTCCTCAGAAATTCTTAGTTTGAGAATTATTTATTTATGAATGTTTAAGGTTATAACCTACTTTTAAAATAACCTGATTTTTAAGAAGCCATTCCAAATTCCTGAAGCCTTTTGTTTCGGGTTGCACCTTCCTATTTTGCTTTCCCCTGCCCCCAGAACTTCTTGAGCTGGTCAACAGAAGTGGCCATGAAATGTGTATGTAATGAAAATAAACCAGAAACTTTGGAAGGCTCTTTAAACATTCCCTGACTCATGGAAATGATGTCATCTTTTCGTGTTTAAATTGTGAAAATCTCTCTCTTTCTCTCCCAAATACACTCTGCAATACTACTGCTAATTAATTGGTGATTATGGTTAGCTGATAGGTTTCTTATTCAGTAAGGTCTATTTTAAGAGTATTTTAAATTAAACATAATCCAGCTTGGATTAGTGAAGGGGAAACAAGGACTCTAAGAAGCAAATACTTGGACATCCCAAGGTGGAACACAGTTAATTTCATTCTAATATCAGAAAAATATGTTTATCTACTTTGAAGCCTAAAAACATTTACATTCCTAATCTTATTTCAGAATTTCTTTTTCTGTCCATATTTCTTAACCTTCTGACCAGTTTTAAACCACTGTCTTTTAATGTGAGCCAAAGACGGTGAATAGGTAATTGAAGCATTTGCTTTTAATTATATGAAATGGAACAAAATGGAAAAAAATAAGAAAATAAGGTATGGATTCAGGACAGGTGAGTGGTTAAGCACATGGGTTCTGGAATAAATCCAAGTTTTTAAAAAAAGGAACTGAAAAAGACATTGCATTTTCTTTGTGGAATGAAAACCATGTCTGAGTTGCTCTTTCCATAATTGTTCTAAAGTGGTCACAGGCCTGGGTGCCACAGTATTCCTGGTGGGCTTCTTGGGGGAGCTACTTACTATTTGTTCCTGGAAACAGACTTGCTTACTCAAGGGTAAGTGATGATTGGAGAAAATAGTTCACCTTTTGCTTCCTGCGAGACCTGAGTGATAAGGAAGGAACACTCTGGACAGCGCCTCAGGTCATGGTAGCAGAACCACACTCTGCTTCTGCCTTGAATGCCCAGCTGTGAGAAGTACAGTGAAGGTCCAGTTTCTCACTTTACTTGGAGCAAAATACTTTTTTCCTTTCTGAATATAAATATTCTTGCTATGAACTGAAATGACCTGATGCGTAGTATCAGATTTAGTAGTTGAGCAATGGAATTTGATAGGTTTGTTTTTAGTGTTAACCAGATAAACGACATACGGCAGCATTAACAGCATGTTGGAAATTAAGTTTCCCAAATCAGCATTGTTTGTTAACTTTGAACATGTCAGAAATGGGTATGTTCATTAACTATGTTCTACCAACATCTTTTATCTCCTTAGACCTGTTTTCCTTCTTTCTATCACTAGGTAAAGTGAGTAAAGCGAATGTTCTGCAAAAACATGCATTTTGAGCCGTTCCCCATCGCTTGCGATGGTTTTGAACCAGTATGTTTCAGTTGTGAAGTGCCCTGCTTTGAGTCCCGAGCTGAGTGCATGGAAATTTATGCTTCTAATTTTCTGTGATCTGTTAATTGCTATGTAGCAAAGATAATTTTCTAAAACTGTTTTGTTGCTTGTTTTGTAATAAAACCAGTACTGAAATATGGTTGTGTGTTTTCCTTATATGACCTTCTGGCCTTGGGTGGATGACTGCTCTTGTCACTCCTCCTGTTATTGGTTTTAGGGCTTTTCAAGAGGTAGGGCCCTGCTCAGGACAGGGCTTGGACTTCCCTTTGGGGGTGGCCCTGGCCCTGGGCCAGGGCAAGACGGGCATTGGGGGAGGCATGGGTGTGTGGATGGAGAGGGCTGCCAGGCTCTGCTCCTTAAAAGTCTGAGACTGACATCTCTGCTAGGAAGTGTTGCTTATTTTAGCCCAGTTGTGAGCTCAAGAGAAGTAACTGGAAAAAACAGAAGAGCAAGATGAGGGAACCTCGGTTGCAGTCCTCTGAGCTCGGCCCCGGACAAGTCCTCCTGCTGTGGCTGCTGCTGCTCTCGGCGCCCGTGCCAGGCAGCCTGGCCCGACGCTCCAGGGCCTCGATACCCTGCCCCGCAGTGTGCGAGCCGACGCGCTGTCCCCCGCTGCCCACCTGCTCGGCGGGCTCCGCACCGGTGCTCGATCGCTGCCGCTGCTGCCGCGTGTGCGCGGCGGCCGAGGGCGAAGTCTGCGGCGGGGCTTGGGGCCGGCCGTGTGCCACGGGGCTGCAGTGCCTCCCGGCGTCCGGGCCTGAGCGCGGCCGCGCCACCTGCGGCTGCCCCGCGGAGGGCGCGGCCGTGTGCGGGAGCGACGGGCGCACCTACCCCAGTCTGTGCGCGCTGCGGGCGGAGAATCGCGCGGCGCGCGTCCGGGGCGCACTCCCGGCCGTGCCGGTGCAGAAGGGCGCCTGCGGGGCCCCAGGTGAGCGAGGGTCGGGCATGGCGCTGGGGGACCCTGAGGAGCTGTGGGGCCCCGGTGCAGAAGCCGGGCGACCCCCCCCACCAGTGGGCCCCCCTCCCCCGCCTGTGCACCCCGCGGCCGTGCCTCATTTGTCTGCCCCTGTCGCATTTCCTCGGTCGTGTTCTGGATTTTCTTTCTTTTCCAATAATTAGTGTCCTTTACCGGCAGTTTTGCCCCATGCATCTTTTATTCCTTTTTTGGTATACTTGATACACTTTATTATGGGCCACATATTTCCCGCGTGCATTTTTCTTTATTGGCATATGTCTGTGATACATAATAATTAAATATGCACCTAGGAAATATGTACGTCTCCAATGTTTTATTGGCACTTCTGGCCTGCTAACCTCACCCCCACGCCCCATCCCATTCATCTTTTGAACGCTATCTTCCTTTTTTAATCGTTGCAACTTGGCTGATAGGCCTAATTCTCTCAAAGAATAGGGGAGCCTGGTGGGGGGAAGGAAAAGGAGAGCGGAATGGGGAGAGGCCTTCGAGGGCGAGGACAGTGCAGCACCGCACTTTCTTCGCTTTCTTCGCAGGGACTGGAAGCGCAGGCTGGCTGCGGAATAAGTACAACTTCATCTCTGCGGTGGTGGAGAAGGTGGCGCCAGCAGTGGTTCACTTGCAGCTGTTTCGCAGGTGAAGTGGCAGGAGGAGAATGACCCTAGCTAGAGGCTTCTTAGGCCTCTTGGTCAGCCTCACCCATCTGCTCCAGGCCTTTTGCAAGCATCATTGAATGCTAAAATCTGCAAACACCTCCGTGAAGAGATCTGGGACACAAAGAGGTTGCAGGAATGTAGCTCAGTGCAACTCTGAGCAGTGGTAGCCCAGGTGATCCCTAGCACTGACTCCGTGTGTGTGTGTGTGTGTGTGTGTGTGTGTGTGTGTGTGTGTGTTCAAGATGCTTTAAAGGACAGAGGCACACAGGGCTCTAGCTTCCAAACCTGAGTTGCTCCTGTGCACTTGAGTGGCTGTTTGGTTTTTTTTTTTTTCCTTTATTTTTCACAGACAAAATTGAAGGCCAGATGTAGGAGCTAGCAGGCCTCCTGAGGGTCCTGCCAAGCACCATTCCTGGTTTGCATGCAAGGAGACCCAGACCCAAAGCTTAGGATTAATTTCCCTGCATCAGAGGACCACTTGGTAGTGAGAACTGCATCAAAACCAGACCCTTTTGCTTCCCTCCCTGGTTCCTCCGCATGGTGGTGGCTGTAGGGATGCCCAAAGTATTAGGATTAGGGCTGGCCTCTTTGTAGCAGGGATGGTCAGGACATGACATGTACTGGTTCATTTATGCGTGAAGAAGATGAAAGCACAGGCAGAAAATAACACTGTAAAAAGTCTCAGAAAGAAAGAAATAAAAAGTCTCAGAAAGTTGTAATGGGGTTATGTTCAATTGATGTGAGAGTCTGGTGATTCACATGCAGGTAGGAAAACCCCTGAATGGAAACCCCTCTTAATATTCCTGCCTTCTGTTTACACTGGTGTCCTATTGAGACAGGTCACATCTCGGCAGCAAGGACATTCCTGCATCCAGTGGCTCTGGGTTCATAGTATCTGAAGATGGGCTCATTGTTACCAATGCTCATGTCCTCACTAACCAGCAGCGGATCCAGGTGGAGCTCCAGAGTGGGGTCCAATACGAAGCCACTGTCAAGGACATTGACCATAAATTGGATCTTGCACTAATTAAGATTGAGCCAAATGTGAGTTTCTTAGGGCTTAGTTTGACTGTATACTTGAGGATGTTAATGTGTGCTGCTCTTTCCCACAGTGGCAGATCTTTTCTATCTAGTGTATGCTTTCTTCTAGTTCCTTTCTGTTCTTCTCATGCTTTCATTTTCTTTCATTCCTATTTGTATATTCCTGACTTCATATTTTTGCAGCAGTCTCTTCTTTTCCTTCTTCCCTGTTTCTCCTCCCTTGCCCCTTCCTTGTTCTCCTCTCCTTCAGCAGATACCACTTGTGGGAAAAAATAGTTTCTCTGCATGAAAGAGCAGAAATTACTGCAGTGGGCTGCAAGCTGCTAAGGAACACTTGGAGATCCTTGCTACATCAGGTGTGGTCTGCACACCAGCAGGGTGGATATGTGATCTGAGAGCTTTATAGAAATGTAGAATCTTAGAATCTACCCAGACCTACTGACTCAAATCTGTAATTTGATAAAACCCTGGTGTTTCATGTGCACAGTACGGTTTGAAAAGCACTGATCTGGCTGATCTCCTTTTTTGTGTCTTGTTTTGACTGTCACCTGATGAGCTATAATGGTGTTAAGTGAATCACTAATGTCAATTTATGCCCATCAGTTACCTCATTGGTTTGCTAATAGTAATTTCTATAAAGTAATAATTTGTCATCTTAGAGATTATCTTAATCATTGTAGCAAGTGAGAACTTGATGGGAGTTGGACTTTGAGGAAAAAGCAGCTGTAGATCCGGTGTGGGAGGGTGGACTTCTTAGATAAGTGCTGAATGATAAAAGATAGTGTCACACATTTATTACATGCAAACATTCTTTCACTTGGTCTTGATTTTTTTCTTTCTCCCTTGTCCTCCTCACCCTTCCTTCCCCATGTGTAGACTGACCTTCCTGTTCTGTTGCTGGGAAGATCCTCTGACCTTCGGGCTGGAGAGTTTGTGGTAGCCTTGGGCAGCCCATTTTCTCTGCAGAACACAGTGACCGCAGGGATTGTCAGCACCACACAGCGAGAAGGCAAAGAACTGGGGCTGAAGGATTCAGACATGGACTATATCCAGACTGATGCCATCATCAATGTAAGTCCTGGAGGAAGTCTGACCTCAACCCCAAGGTACTGGTAGTATTCAGTGAGGAGGAAACTTTCTTTGGCCTTTGGGCAGATCTGGAGGGCAGTTAGATCCCTATGAGAAGAATGGAATGCCACATTGTTAGAGCTGAGCCTGTTTGATGTAATAATTGCCATCCCTGCTTTTGGATAGTTTCCTCTGTGTTTATCATAGAGGTCAGCACCCATGTAGAATGTGGGGCCCTCTTGCAGTTGGGCTTATCAGTACTGACTTCAATATTGGTGATGACAGGTAGCAGCATTTTGCCTGCCTTGGGGTAAGAACTCAGTAGACCTGGCTGACTCTGGTAAAGCTCAGTGTGAACTATGTATAAATGGTTTGGAGAAATGTATTTATTGGCTTTACTAATGGCTTTTTCAACTGTTGTCTTTAGCATGGGAATTCTGGGGGACCTCTGGTGAACTTGGTAAGTAGCTATTTTCTTTGTTTCTTCAGGTTTTTTCCTACATTTCAAAGATTTTCCAAATTCTACAACACAAACTTAGATGCCCTCCTTGTGTATAGAGTGGTGGAATGAAACTTTCCTATTCTGGGATCTTGAAAGCAAATTGTTAGGGAAAGAGTCAAGATCTATGATGAATTTATCATCCCAGTGTGTGTTCTCATCTGAGAGCATCAGGGTTCTCATTCTGGCTCTCTTCAGAGTTTTCCTCTTCAGCATAGTTTTTGTTTGTATTGAGTATTACTGAAAACCTTGAATATTAAGCCCAGATTTATGCCAAATGACCAACTGTTGTATAGAATGTATATCCTTGATGATGCCTTGCTGCTGTGTAAGAAGAAACATTCCTCATGTAAAAATGCTTAATATATGAGGACTGTCTGTACTTTTAGTCCTGACCTGCTTGCAAAATGATGAAAAGCTACAACCTGAATCCACTATTCTGTCATGTATTCTTTTAATTTTTAAAATTTTAAAAATGTCTACTAATTTTTATTAGTACATGCATATATGATTTCATTCATTTGGGGAGTTGGTACATAATGTGTTTTATTTTTCTATTTTAAGCAACATTGTAGTGGAAATGACAGGGTTTTTAGTTGCTTAAATACATGTGAACATGTAAGAAAGTACAATGCTATTTGACTCCTGCTTTCTCTGTTCCTTGGAACTGAGTTTGTTTTTTCTGTAAATTTTATATTTGTATCATTATTGTTGTTGTTTGCAGAGCTGGAGCTTGAACCTAGGACCTTGTGATTGCTATGCGAGGACTATACCACTGAGCCATATCTCTAGTTCTTTTATATTATTTTGAAATCAGATCCTGCTAAATTCCCCAGGCTGGCTTCAAAGTTTCAGTTCTCTTGCCTCAGCCTTTTGCATAGCTGAGATTACAGGCATATGCTCTAACACCTGGTTACATTTGAAATTATTGAGTGCATTTTATTCATAACATTGCATATAGTTTGGTTTTTTTTTTTTCCTTCTGGTATCGGGGATTGAACTTGGGACCTTATGCTTGCCAGGCAAGCACTTATGCCGCTGAGCTACCCTGTTCCCATTACATATAGTTTTTGTGCCTACTTGTCAATTAGACAGTGAGTTACTTAAGAGCAGAGATGAAATGCAAACTTCCATCTCACAGTCCAGACCTACTGCATGATGAGAATCTCCTTCCTATACTTGCCATTATCTAATAAAAGCTAAAGGATGATGAAGGCATGAGAAAAAAAGTATTAGCTTAGCAGAGCTTGTTCCCTCATATCAATTTTGCTAATGTTTTTGAATACTTTCATCAAAGTGTTGCTGAACATCCAACAGCTTTTTGTCTCTTCTGTGTTTTATGTAAGCAATAAGGCAAATGTTCCCTGTCCTCTTATTTGTGTCAAAATACAAACTGTGGCTCACTTTTAAAGTCAATATAATTTTATTGGAGGAAAAAAATGAGTTCGAGATTTAAAACAATAAAAACACCTCAGTAGCTTGGCCCTGGAAAAAGGATAATGTTGCAGCTGCACCTTCCCTCTTTCTTCCCTCTTCCAGTGCCCTAATCTCCTTAGTAGAGCACCATCTGTGCTGTGTAGTGAAGAAGCAGCATTGCCCCTTGCCGTTGTTTTCCAGCTCTGTGTGATGAACTCCACTCCTTCCTCTGCTTACTGTGCTTTGGCAAGGTTCAATTTGCAAAGCTTCATGACTGAACAGTGTTTCCTCCCTTACCAGGACGGTGATGTGATCGGCATAAACACACTGAAGGTGACTGCAGGGATCTCCTTTGCGATTCCTTCAGATAGAATCCGGCAGTTCTTGGCCGAATACCATGAGCGCCAGTTGAAAGGTGAAGGGAGCTGGGGTCCTTGGGCCCCTCTTGTGTGGCTCAGAAGCATTCCACCCTTTGTGGAGACAGTGGTTTGAATTTTTGTTTTTTTTTTTTTTTTGGTTCCTCGAATGCCTTCAGGGCACTTTTGGCCAGCGGGAGAGGTGTGAGGTTCGAACTCCAGCAACCTGAGGCTGACAGCTTTGTGGAAGCAGCCACTTAAAGGCCTGAGCTAGGGCCAGGCCCCCAGTGGTTTGAATTTTATACAGGACTGGGTCATTGGTTCTCAGATTCTATAATGTTGTTTGGGTGGCCTTAAGGACTCTAGGCACAAGCCAGGCAGGAGATGTATCCAGAAGTACACTGACAGACAGAGGAAGGAAATAAGTTTGTGCTGATGACAGAGGTTCTAAGAAGAATACAGTTCATGACAGACAGCATGCAAGGGCAGCTACAATCACAGAGATTCTGAAACTTGGGTGGCTTTTAAGCTATACCAAAAGGAAGGAAAGATTTGTTGTTAGTCACATATTATTGTAATTTTCTTTTCCAGGCAAAGTTTCTTTGCAGAAGAAGTATCTGGGTCTGCGAATGCTGCCTCTCACTCTGAAGTAAGCATGACTTTAGCTATGTCTGGGTTGCTTCCCTGAGGCAAGCCCTAGCTGGATGATTTGGGCTGTTTGTTACAGGATATGTACCTGACTTTCTCTCACCCACATTCACTGTGTAAGAGTGTGTTTTGCTGGGAATGCATCCTTTCAGGTTCAGTGATTCTAGGCTCTAACTCAGAGGCTCAGACTGCACTCAGAGCAAATGATTGTCTCGGGTGCCTGGGAGCGTTGAGCAGAATAGACAGGGGACTGAGTAAGAGTTCCAGGTTCTTAGGAGGGCTCAGGGATGACTTCATGTGCTAACCTTCTTGCTTCCCCTAGCCTTCTTCAAGAAATGAAAAGGCAAGATCCAGATTTCCCTGATGTGAGCTCTGGGGTTTTCGTATATGAAGTGATCCAAGGAACAGCTGCTGAGAGGTCAGTGCAGGCCTTTCTGGAATCCTGTGTTCTTTCTGGACATTTGCAGTGGTAAATGCATAGAGGTTCTAGACTTGCTACGTCCATTACCTAGGCTACCTACACATAGTGTGTAGTGTGTATTTGTCTCAGTTACTCTCCTTTCATTGCTGGGACAAATACCTGACACCCAAAATGAAGGTAGGAAAGGTTTTTTTAGCTCACAGTAACTGGAGGTTTCAGTCCATACTCAGCTGGCTCCAAGGCACAGCAGGCACAGGGCACAGAACAACTTTTCATGGTGGCGGCAAAGAACAGAGAACAAAGGGAGGGGCAGCTAGCTATCCTCTCTCCCCTCCTTACATTGTAATGCAAATTATCTGCCTCAGGGCAGGTGTGGCATCCACACCCACAATAATCAATCACAAACTGCAGAAACTGCCCCATAACTGCATGAGGCTTTAGGGAGACACCTATACACAAACAATAACAGTATTAAACACCTATGATGTAGGCAGAGTGACTCCTAGTCACTTTATTGTCACTGGGACTCAAGACACCAGGCGCTTAAAGGAGGAGAGGTTTGTTTTGGCTCACAGTCACACTCCCTGATTGTCTGACTCAAGACAGAATCCCGAGGGGGGGGTGGGGAGGGGTGGCAGAAGACAGATGCTGTACGGTAGCAGCCTGGAAAGCTGAAAGGAAGGAGAGAGGAACTAGGGAGCAAGAGATGCCCTTCCAGGTCATGTATCAGTGACCCGCCTCTTCTGATCAGGTCCTACTTCCTAATGTTCCATTTTTTCCTAAAAAACCCCCCAAAAGACTTTTTTTTTTTTTTTTTAAAATTTTTTTTTTTTTTTTTTTTTTTTTTTTTTTTTTTTTTTTTGTATAGGGTCTCACTATAAAGGTTGGACTCATAATGTTCTTCCTGTCTCAACCTACACTGCACTGGGATTACAGGCGTGTGCCACCATGCCCACCCAGTTTCAATGGCTGGCTCAGCTCAGAGCCAACATGGCAAGCGGTAATGGGGATCCAACCTGGGTCCCTGCACTTGCCAGGCAGGTGCTCAGACAGCTGAATTATCTCTCCAGCCCCTAATCACCTTTTAAAAGCTCCACCTATGAATTTGTATGGCCCAGGGAACATCTAGATATAAACCATGATATTCAGGAACTAAATTTAAAATTTAATTTTAATTAATTGCATGAAAAGAGCCCAGAAACAGTGCATATTTTCCCATTTCCCTTTTTGTTTCAGAAAGACTGTTTACCTTAATCCTTGCGTTATGTAAAATACTATCATTATATAATACCCTATTGGGTGTGAATTTTTTTCAGGTGGATTTCTAAGACATACAAAAGTGTAAAAACATCTATGGAAAAATTTGAGAGTGTTTATTACATGTCAAAATGATAATGACATTCAGTTAAATAAGATACATCATCAAACTTTATTTCATCTATTTAAATATTTTAAAAGATGGTTATCAGAAAATTTAAGATGACATATGTAGTTTGCATTTATATTTCTGTAGAACACTGCTGATATGAGAATTGTAGAAGTTTAAATTAATTTTGCTAGGAATTACCAAATTTTTTGTTGTGGTGTGGATTTGAACTGAGGGTCTCACACATGCTAGGCAAGGGCACTACCACTGGGTTACATTCCTAGCCCCAATTCTACCCATCTGTCGTAATCATTTTCATGGTGCTGAGGCACAGTACCCAATACCCACCATGTGAAAGAGAAGAGGTTTATTTTGCCTCATGGTTTCAATCCATCTTTAGCAGGCTCCAAGGGAGAAACAAGGTGGTAGAAGAGCATGGCACAGGAAAAGGAGCTCAATTCATGGTGACCAGGAAGCAGGGACAGGAGGGAGGAGCTCGGAAACAAGATGCACTTTCAGGTCCTCCTAACAGCACATTTAGCTTTGATCTCATCAGTGGATAGCATGCCTGGGCCTAGTCACCTTCCTGAATACAGAAGAATTCTGGGGAACATTTTTTTAAAATTTATTTTTATGTATTTTGTATAGGGTCTCACTGTGCAGCTTGGACTCATAGTAATCCTCATGTTTTAAGGGTCCTGGTGGTGGCTCACTGCACTTGGCGGTGGAGCAGGTGCCCATGGCGTGCGGTGCCAGGGATTAAATCCTAGTCCCTGTACTTGCCTAAGCAGTTGCTTAGTCCATTGAGTGTATTGTAGGCCCTTTAAAACACCTTTTATGTAGCTCTAGATGACAGTGTAAGAGGCTAGTGCTAAGACCTGTGTCATAAAATCAGAAGTCAGAACAGCCCTATAAGAAGGTTTTCCAGTTGACTTTGCTGTTGTCTTAGAACATTTAATATTAGGGAATAGGTAGCTTGTCCTAGGTATATTATTCTTCTTGGTTTCCTACTTCATTATCTTTCCCTTGATGTTTTTCTTTTTCACAATCTCATCTGTTGTAGAATACAGCACCTCTTTCACAGGTGGAAAGAAATCATGGGTACTGACTGTTAGGCCTGGCTAAGTGTTATTATTATTATTATTTTGTATTTTTGGGAAGGGTCTACAGGGTGTTCAGGGTCTCACTACTAGATCAGACTCCTCGTGATCTACCTGTTTACAACCTCCCAAGAGCTGAGATTGCAGGCCTATGCCACCATGCATAGTCTCAATTGCCCTCTCAGCATGCCCCCCTGAGGGCGGGGCCAATGGCTAAATTTTAGATCTCATATTACTGAAGATGGCTTGTTCTGGGCTTTCCTAGACTTTCCTGGTTCTAGTCCTGATTTTTACTCCCACCCCTACCCTTATTTTTTAAACTTCTGGTCAAAGGCCAAAATGATTACTTTTAGCTAAGTTGTCACTACTCAAAATATGGTATGTGATCAGCCTATTACTATCAGCAAGATCTGCTAAGAAGGTGGAATCACAAGCCCCACCTCCTGCCCGCTTAAATCCACACCCCTTCCTCTGTGATGCTGAGGATCTGCATATGCTAAGCGTTCTCCTGCTGATCTACACTCTCAGCTGGAATCTGCACTTAACAAGATACATAGGTGCTTTGTAGGTGTTAGAAATGAGAATCACTGTTGGAAGTCACTGATGTGTGGACATTCAGCCTGTCTGGCTTTTACTCACATCTGATGATAATGATAATAATCACAATTATAAGAGCTGGCACTTAGGAAGCATTCACTGTACGTCAGGCACAATTTAAAGCCTTTTTTTTTTTTTTTTTTTTTTTTGATACAGGGTCTCACTACATAATTCAGGCTAGCTTTGAACTCACTATGTATCCCAGACTGGCATCGAACTCATAGCAATCCTCCTCCATCAGTCTCCTGAGTCCTGGGATTACAGGCCAGGCATGTGACTCCACACCCAGCTAAAGTAGTTTATGTACTTGTTTGAGCCTCCAAAGTCTTATGATGTAGGGGTAGTCTTTGTGTGTATGTGTGTGTGTGTGTGTGTGTGTGTGTGTGTGTATGGAGCAGCTGTGATACAGAACAGCTAACTTGGAAAGTTACACTGTGGTCAGAGAGAAGTGGACCCTGGTTTAATCCCTCTGTTGTCCTGCTTTTCATGCTCCTGAGAGGCAGAGTGATTTAATGGCAAGGTGATGAGTTTTCAAGTCATAAAAACCAAGGTCATATTCTACTTTCACCTCTTATGAGTTGTGTTACCAGAAAAGATAATTTATTTCACCTGAGCCTGTTTTCTCATATTTGGTATGTAGCAGGCATGAAGTAATAACTTGCAGGTTTCTCTCATTCTGCTTTCCTAAGCAAAGAACTGCTATGAATTATGTTCTTCGTGCAGACAGTTTTAAGTCATACTACTAAGCTGTCCTTGTTCCCAAGGCCTTTCCTGAATGCAGCTCAATACTTGCTTCTCTTCACATCTGCTTGTTTAAATTTCCTACTTTTTAATTTTTGCTGCTAAGGATTGAACCCAGGGCCTTGTTTTCTTATCTGCTTTCTAAACTCAACACAGCTTGGCACTTCTACCATACTGTCATTTTTTGGTGTGTGCATGTGTGCTTTCCATGCCCCTTAAATGGTTTCTTCTGTGAGTCATTTGACAACCATCTTCTAGCACATTTTCATCTCCATAACCATTTGATTGGCTATGTGTTTATTGCTGAGTTTATTATTTGGAGCTGCTTTTGTTTCTAGAACATGTATTATGCGCGGCAAGTATGTTGGAGATTGAATAGAATCACAGCTTTTGGACAATAGGAGCTTAGAACCAACAATTCACATATTTAGACTTGAAAGGTTGAGCATAGCTTTTTATTTACTGGAAGCAGCATTTCTATAATGCAGGCTCAACATATTCTTCAGTTCTTTAAACTATGGGTTGCCCAAATCAAACTGATCAGAGGACAACTGGAGAGGAAAAATGTACTACTCAGGCTTTGTACTTTTGCTGGTGAGACTGGGCTTGTGCGTGGGGTAGAGAGAGGTCAGAGATGAATAGACATTAAAGGCTAACTCTCTGCTCCAAGCCAAATACAATATGGGTGGCAGTAACTTCTTATATGAGTCTCAAAGGCTGTTAATTTTAAAAAGGTATATAGGATTGTTATCCTCCAGGTGATTTTGTAGCGTATCTTAAAACAACCCTCATATCTGGATTAAGGTTATTTCTGGTTTGTACATTTAATACCAGCACAATAATATGGCTATAAGAAAGTGGCATTACATTCTATAATTGGGGTTAAGAGAAATACTTCTTCAAACTTCATGGTATTTCATTTTTTTCTCCCTTCTCAGCTCTGGGTTAAGAGACCATGATGTAATTGTCAGCATCAACGGGCAGCCAGTTTCCAGCACAGCTGATGTCATTGAAGCTGTTAAAGACAATGATTCCCTTTCCATCATTGTGCTTCGGGGAAGTCAAACCTTGTTTCTGACAGTCACACCTGACATAATCAGTTAAGCATCTTACCTTAAAAGAGATTTAACAAAACCAAAGTTTTATTACCTGGTTTGTATGGAAGATGTGGCGAAGATGGCAGAGGTTTTCTGGAGTCTTTCTCATTAAGAAAAACAAGTGTTTAATTAAACACCTGTGTGCTTGTGCACATGCACCCACAGGACAGGACATCACTAGGCTGAGGAACCACTCTGCTGCCCAGAAAAATTTCTAAGCCAAGTGGAGGACACAATTCCAGAAGTCTGGAGTTGATAAAATTTTATTGACACATAGGAAACAACTAAAAAACAGGCACAGTTTTTAATAAAACTTTGACAGAGAGACACTGCAGTGTTTTAAGCCTTGTCTATATACATAGATGAATAGATCTATTTACCAAATACTAAGAAACAACTTCAGCCCAGGGTGCAAGAGTAATCACATTTTAATAACACTCCTTTCTTTAGTCAGTTTTCCAGGTTTGATGACATTTCACCAGAGTTTGTGGATATGGAGGAGGACATGATTTAGAAATTAAATTAAAACTTAATAATGGGGGCTGGCGAGATAGCTCAGTGGACTAAGCGTCTGCTTAGGCAAGTGCAGGGATTAGGGTTCAATCCTTGGTTCCGCATGCCAAGCTGGTCTTGCCCTAGGGTGTGCTGAGCCTGTGAGTGAGTCTGGGCCTGGTGGTGGTGCATACCTGTGATTACAGCACTGGGGAGGCTGAAAACAGGAGGATCACTACAAGTTTGAGCTGTATAGTGAGACCCTATACAAAAAATAAATAAAGATAAAAACAAAAAGAAAAAGCCCTTAATCGTGGGGGATTGTCACACAAGAATACTAATGACTCTCAAATGATCACTCTAGCAGCAGGAGCAACTTTGGTCTTCAATGGCACTTCTAACTTTGGAAAGATCTTTTACAAAATAGTTTGATAATGTACAGACTTCTAGTTTTCTCCTGATATTCTTCCTGGCAATAATAATGATTTGAAGGTTTTACTTTTTTAAGGTTTTTTTTTTTGTTGTTTTTTTTTTTTTTTGGGTACTGGGCCTTGAACCCGGGAGCATTCTATCAGTGAGCTATATCTCTCTTTTTTTATTTTTTTTTTTAAATTTAAAACAGGGTCTCACTAGGTTACCTAGACTGGCCTAAAACTACCATGCTTCAGTCTCCAACATAGCCATTACAGGCATGTATCATGGTGGTTGGCTGACAAAAAACTTGTGATGGTGTTTCTAAACATTTTTAGGGAGTTTTTTTTTTTTAAGTGTAAGATGAGATGAGTGATGGCTTAAAAGTAGTATCTTATTGTAGAATTAGTAGTTCCTGGTCTTCAAACTTCCCCTAAAAATGAAGAGTGTTTTTAGTTATTGTTATTGCTTTTTTTTTTTTTTCTTTTGCTGGTCTAGGGATCAAATCCAGGGCCTTGTCCATACTAGGTACGAGCTATATCCCCATGGCAAAAATAAAATTTTTTTAATATAATAACTTTGAGCCCTATTAAATATGTAAAATTTCATGTATATCTATATTTATGAGTCTAGTTTCTTCATAATCCATTAACAATTAAATATTGCCTTTGAATACAGAGATTATGGATTAAGAATCTACTAGTTAATGCTGTTACAAACAAGGTAAAGATCAATGTGATATAGTACTTTTAAGACACAACAAAGTAATTTGTTTTAATTTTTCCCACAATGTTACCTCTAGTAATACAACAGCGTGATCATATTAATCTGGGATGGTGAACTAGATACTTTTTGGAGAATGATGCTACAAAACCATAAAACATTTTTAGGGAAGTTATTTTAACTGTGATTCTTGGTCTTTAAGTCAGTTATAAGAATAAACACAGAACTTCTACCTTCACTGTTCTTGAATTTTGTAAGCCCCTCCCCACCCCTCTGCCCTTTTGTGGTACTGGGTATCAAATCCAGGGCCTTGCATATGCTAGGCAAGTGCTCTACCACTGAACTATGCCCCCAGTCCTCTTGTAAACTATTTTGAATAGCAGCTCTAGGTGCTTTGCAGCTTATAGAAAGTCTACCTTTTATTTCAGACTTAATTCTTTTCAATTTAGATTGCAAAGAATGGGACCTGAGTTTTCAAAACTCTTATTTTTATTTTTTATTTTTTCTGTGGCCAGCTCAGCCCACTCTGGGGGTGGGGCTGATGTGGCATGTGGTGCTGAGGATTGAACCGCGGTCCCTGCGTGCTTGCCTAAGCTTGCCTAAGCAGGGGCTTTAGACCACTGAACTATCTCGCCAGAACTTAAAACTCTTAATTGGGAACATTTCCTTTTCTTCTCAGTGACTTGGGAATACAAAAGCGTAACTGTATCCTTTTCTAATTGCTGCAGCGCACTGTAAGAGCTTTTAGTGTCATGCTTGTTTGAAAAGAGTGTGTTTAGTTTTTCCTTGTGCTCACAAATCACCTACTAATTGTACCTTGATATCTGATGTCTTTTAAGTAAGAATGTGCTTTTCTTCCCAACCACATGGTGATTCTCATTTTATTCTGCCTAATTGGGAAAGGACTTCATATCACTTACATTACTTTATCATCCTGTAACATGGGCTCCATAAACTGGAAGACACTGATATTTTTAAATAGGACAATTCTGTCAAAAGAAATTGCTAAACTCATTTGTGTCTACTACTGTTGGCTTTCAAAACATTAAAGTGAAGAAATTACAGGACTGGTATTGCCTCTGGAACATACAGGGTTTATTAACAGAGTGGTTCATTTCAGTGAGTAACTTTCATCAAAACAAATACAATTCTGAGTTTCACTTTCCTTTCTGAAAATATTCATACATATAACACTCCAGGTGGGCAAAATTTATACTACAATTTAAATTCAAAAAGTCAAAATTTCACATGTTTTAAAATCCATGGCCATTTCTAGTTTTGCTACAGACTTTCATTGGCTCAGCTTTGGGTTGTCTCTGCATGAAGACAGGGTCGCAAAAGGTACATGGATAAAAACACTCCACCTACCTTGGAGTGGAGACAGAACAATTGACAGAAATGAAGAATTTGGAAGCCTGTTTGGAGTTTATAAGTTAGTCATTAGCCTTATAGTTTGTACACGAGGAAAGGTACAAATTTGATCCTCACAATACTGTTTACTTGTCATTCTAGTCTGCCAGGTAGGATTTGGGTTGAAAATCCATCATCCAAAGAACTCTTCTTACAAACCCATTTTCTCCAAAGAGAGAAGTGTCCAGGTCTGATAATCGTAGAATTCTGACCTGGTAGAGATGAGTTCAGAAGATAGAACACTCACTTGTCTCTCTGGGGTATAGCAGCCATCAGCTCTTTTTTAGTAAATGGTGCACCAGTTGCTGCCATCGCTTGGCATCAGCCCTCCAGTGATAAGCAAAATCAGGTCAACAAACCACCAAATTCCAAGTCCTCCAAGTGTCAACAGCTTCCCCACTGCTGTACCAGTGTGTCCCAGACAGAAACGATCCACTCCGAAACATCCCAGGAAGAAGGAGTACAGTAAAGTGGTTATGAAATAGTGTCCGGTATACCTGGACAAAGGGAGTGAAAAAGATGTTTAACTACAGGAAAATAAAAACCCTCAAAGATGAATAAATTTAGTGTAAGTGAAAAAATGGTACAACTGTCCCTTTGTGGCATCTTACCCTGCTTTGGATTCTTTTTTGGTATGCTCAGTTGGTGTGGTCATAAAGAGAGGCAAAAAAGACTCTGAAAAGTATCCGTTTATTACACGTGTGGGCATTAGAGGCAGGAGGCATGGCTTGCTATGCAGGAACATGAAGGAGTAGCACCATAGTGGTGAGAAGACAGGAGGGAGGGAAAGCTTAGGCCTATGCCTTTCTTGGGGTTTCTCTACAGGAAGCCAAGGCAGTGCAGGGGGAAGTCTTGGATTGGCAAACTTGAGTAATTTTAGCAACCTAGGCTATATGAGTGGTCCCTAGTGGCCTAGCACCTGATCCTGGGATGTCCAACATTAAGGAATATGCTCTCCTACAGGACAGATTCAGGAAGGATAGGTCTGGATTAGTTTGTGTGCCTATCAAGGTCATGCTTTTGACTGAGCTCTTTGCTATCTCTAAGACACCTCTAAGAGGTTTTTTTTTTTTGAGACAGGGTCTCCCTATGTAGTTCAGGCTGGCATTATATTCACTAAGTATCCCAAGCTGGTCTCAAACTCATGGTGATCCTCCTGCCTCAGCCTCCTGAATGCTGGGATTACAGCCGTGTACCACAGCATGCATAGCACTCTTTGCTATCTTTAAGAATTCATCAGACTTGGAAGGGGTAGTCTCTTCAAAACTAGAAAGATTTTTTAAGATGTCACATATATCATAATATAAAAAACTTTTGCAGAGTTGGACTGGATTAGAAATTATCAAGCACACTCGCATAACAGATGTGGAGAGTAGCTGAGCTCTCATCATCCCGTGTGTCTGCAGGCCCCTTTCTTGAGGCTTGGCTGCTTGCTTTTGAATGTCTAGGAAGTACAGCTTTTCCCAGAGTGAGTACCTAATCTCTTTCCTGCTGTTTTGTGGCAGCTAAAAGGACTTCTTAAGGCTCCTGTCCTTACATATAATGACATTTAACTGCAGTTGTTAATATTGTCACTGACCCTTTCTATTAACAGTATAAGTAAATTCTATGCCTTCCAGCAGTATTTACAGAAATGACCCTAGCCCTTTAACTTAAGATCAACTTGGGGGCTGGTGAGATGGCTCAGTGGTCTAAAGCACCTACTTAGAACAAGCTAAGCAAAACACAGGGACCACGGTTCAATCCCCCAGCACCACATACCAGCCAGCCCTGCCCCCTGGTGGGCTGAGCTGGCCACACACACACACACACACACACACACATAAATAAAATTAAAAAAAAAAAAAAGATCAACTGAGTTCCAGAGTAAGTAATCCCTGTTTTTCATAGTGAAATATTGATTGCTAAAATATTAAGGCGTTCTTCACCTGATTTATGCCTTTTGGAGTTTGTCATCTGGTACAACTTCTGCTGCTAAGGTGATAGACTCTGAGTGCTCATAGACACTCATTTCTTAGTGAAAGAATCGTAGTGTCCTCTACTACAACCATATCGCCTCTGTCAATGGATCATGTGCTGGAACAATCACATTACTTAACACTTAGAAGTCACACCAAAGAAGGACAATGAAAATAACTTTTACCTTCATCCAAGTATCAATCACCCCACTCAAATTAACATGTACTTTAGGCAGGGTGTGTACCTTAGAGGTATAGCTTATTCTTAGTAAGCATTAGGCTCTGGGTTTAATTCCATGTATCCCATCCCATATGTGTATGCTCACACATTCACACAGCAAACTTACTTTATACATTCACTTACTTTATACAAGGTTTGTTTTCTCGTAGGAAGGTCCTAGGACTGGCACACTCAATTCCATCTAGGGCCTGACATTGGACAGAAGTGTGTTCCACATCACCGTAGGCCTGACCACCAAACTGGGGAATAAGCGCCAAACCCAAAACAAACAAAAAACAAACTCACCAAAGCAAGTAACACAAGAATGTACCTTTATGCTCATTAATAAGGGGCATATAAATACTGATATACTTCCAAAGATTTTAGATTAGTCCATCCTAAATATATGTTTTAAAAAACTTTTTTGGGTTCACTCATATTTTTTTGAGAAGGGTCTTGTTATATAGTTCAGGCTGGCCTTCAACTCACTATGTAGCCCAGGCTGGTCTTAAACTTGGGGAAATTCTCCTGTCTCAGATTCCTGAGTGCTGGGATTACAGGTGTGTGCCACCACACCTAGCCTGTATGTTGTTTTAAATAGCCCCCCCCCATTTATGACTATCTTCTTTATTAATAAAATTAAAAAATCAATTTCATTAAATGGCACTTAGAAGATTGACACAATGCTTTAATTATATTTATATGAAAAATAGCACACAATGGAGCATTTGAAAATGGGTGTTTAAAAAGTCAATGTGTAATGGAGTCTGTTTTATATCCATTGTAAGTTAGCTGAATTAAAGAGGAAGTAAAAAGAATTAAGATGTGTCATGTACATGTGTACCAACTCTCCCTGATGGATGTAATTTATATACTGCAAACATAGGCTAATAATTAAAAAGGTTAACAGAAAAGTCACAGTGTCAACTGATTTTGGATTTTATTTAGGGTATGAGTAGGTGACTATCAAGTAACTATAGTATAAATTTAAATTCCAGCAAAAAGTTTTGGAAAAAATCCAGCCTCCTACCCTGTGCTTAACTGAATGCTAGCAGAAGAAACACAGCTGTATATTTTTTACTGGCACCTTACTGGTATTTTACTACTACTGGAGTGTTACTCAAGGGAAAGCACCTGGAAAAATACAGATGATTTCTTCATTGCCTCCCAAGTACTGCCAATCCTTAGGACTTCTGGGTGAGGACCACATTTGACTGCCTTAACAGGATAAACTTAGTTTTTAATTAAAATGGGTGAAAGTAGTTAAAGTCTATACACCTTAAAGGATAAGTGACATTTTATTTAGCTTCAAATCTGTCACTTTCAGTGGCCAAACCCAAGGGCAGATTGATCTTTGCACCAGGTAGTTTTGGCACAGAAACTGCTCCTTCCTGAGGATACCAAATACTTTGTTCACCACTGATCCTGGCCTTGCTGGAAATTAACAGTCATTTGGACAGATTCCTACAAAATGTAACCTCATAGGCTCTTACGTTTTTCTGTAACAACATTTGGCCAGAACTATTTTTCTGTGGAAGTTTGCTTACACAGAAGAAGCAACTCACCTTGAGGCAACCGTAACCAAGTTCTTGGGATGCAGTTGAATTTCCAACATGATCCACTGGGTCATCACAATGTATAAATTCATCAGGTCTGAAAATCAGCAGTCAGATCATGATCATCATTATTCTCTCTGCAAACTGCTATTGTAGCCAATCAAAACAGGTAAGAGCCATTTCTTTACTAAGTTTTCTGGGACTCATTTTCATTCTGTAGACCCTTTTCCCTGACCCAGTGGTGGTGTCAATGACCCCGAAGCACAGCTGATCACATTAACAGCCACTCAAATGACCTTCTTTTTGGGGAGTTGTTTCTAGCTTTGTTTTCACTTGGATTCAACTTTTACCAGGGTTCCATCTCTTTCTAGGCAAACAACCACAAGGCTATGAGAGCAACATTTAAGTCAAAGGATTCTCAGTGCTCTGCTTTTCCTAAAGGCCTTTACTTTTGTTCAAAAGCCCCTGTTAAAAATGACTTGATTCTGCAATGGTACAGCTACTGATTCTGTAACAAATCATTTATTCCATCTGTCCTTCGTTCAGTACCCATGGTTTCTCCTTTGGCTAAAGGGAGCAGGGGACAAAGGCACAGCCACAGCCTTGCATGCTGCTTCTGCAGAAGCTGTCACACCACTTTTAGGACCCCCAAATCTGCTACCGACACACGAGGCTTCCCTAACACAAGAGTCGAACGCGGAACCTATCGTGATGACTACTTGCCCTAGATCGGTTGTCAAAGTAGCGAGGGTCTAGGCAGCCTCTGGCCCACCCCCACTTCTCATCACTCCCGCGTGATTCCCGGCCTGTTCTCCACCCTCACCCTCCCCGACGACGGGTGCCTTACAGGTATGAGCAGAGGATGACTGGAGACTGGGGGTCGCCGTATTCCCAGTTCAGAGCACCAGTCAGGCCTTCCTGGTGGGCGGAGCCCGCCGACGCAAGCTCGAGCTCTGCAGTAGCATTGTATGAGTGGCTTCGAGAGACACAATGCAGCAGAAGTAGATTTCCCAGCAGCAACGCTGCCTGGCCGCACAGAAGCAAGTAACTCACCGGGCAACCACCAAGCACCATCTTCCCGGGCCCGGCGGCACCGACCCGGCCTTAACCACAAAGCCAGGTGGATACAGAAGAGCCAAGCTTGCCCTGTCAGGCCGCTGCGCGAAACCACCCTCCTAGCTACTGGACAGCCAGTGGGCGCGCAGTGCGACGTTCCGCCCACCCCTACAGCCAATCAGAAGAGGCCGGGCAGAAGCGTAAGTTTGTGTTTCGCTTTTCAGTTCCTTTCCGGGGTCTCGTGCTCCTCCTCTTTACGCTACAGGCGCTTTATCCAATGGGTTTCCTCGACCTCAAAAATGGGCGGGTTTATGGTGGAGGGGGCGGGACATATAGTAACTGGGCGGGGCCAGCCGGTGCGGATTCGCGCGGCCAGTTTAGAAATCTATTCTCCCGCCGGGAACAGGATTTTTCCTACGTCAGCAGAGCGAGCGCGCTGCCGGGAGCGAGCCCGGAGCTCAGGCTGGGCTGCGTCAGTGCCGCGCGCATGCTCGTCCGCGGGCGCGCGCATCCTGGCTCGTACGAGGCCCCGCAGGGTTCTGAGATGATGGACGAGGCAGAGACCTAGCGCTGAGGGGAACCTGCAGCATCTGTCGAGATGAGGTCGGGCGCGGGCTCGCCCTCTGAAGCCGTCCGTGTCCAGTGGTTGCTGTTGTTCGGTCTGGTGAGCCTGGTGCACAGTGGGGAGCGGCCAGGTGGGTATCTGGCTCCACACTCCTCCAGGACCTCTGCTTCCCGCGCGGGGAAACCCGGCGTGAACCCGCTTAGCCCGGGGCGGGCCGGGGCCGGCATGGAGCTCGGGCTGCGGACAGTGTCCAACCCTGCCTGCTCTCCCTTGGCTTCGGGCTCCTCTCCCCGCGCCGCCCCTACTCCCACCCCACCCCCACCCCGACCCCGACCCCTACCCCGTCTTCCACTCGCACGCGAGCGCGCCGCCCACGCCCCGGCCCCTGGGTCGCGCCGCGCGGGGTGGGCCGAGCCGGTGGCGGGTGCGCCCCGGGCTGCTCTCGCTTTAGTACTCGAGCGCCAGAGCCTCGCTGTCGCTCGCAGACTGGATGGCACTTGCTTGGCAGGAGACCGGGAGTTAGAATTTTTGCTTAAGGTTATGATAACTTGAGATTTTGATGTTCATTTTGTTCGCGGTGCCACCAGTGGGTTCACAGAGCTAAAGGTAGCGATGGAATAAAGCAAAGGCAGCTCATTTTTCTTGGGCCATTTTTGTTGTAGTGAGAACTCCTTTTTGGAAACGGAGTGCTGTGTTTGTATAGCCAGGCTTTTATCTGGGTTCATACTGGGTTCTTATTGCCGTAAGCCCACAACTAAGCCCTGTGTTCAGTTTGACTCAGGATTATCGTTAAGAATGAAATCATTTATGTGAAATCGTTTTAAGTTGTGAAACTTCCCGCGAATATGTGAGCTATTTATAGCGGAGATGTACAAGCATAGTGGAAACAAATCAGCGCCCTCATTTCTTTGTGGAACTAACTCATTTATTTTGGCTTTTGTATTAAATTATTGTTTGCATGGCTGTATTTTCTCAAGCAGCAATGGAGTATGTTGGAGAATGCGTTTTTACTGAATCGTTGCTTTGAGAATTGTCCTAAGGTGATGATGGAAAGGTTTAGTGTAGCAATGTTGGCTTTTCTAACACACATTACGTTTGTTCTTGTCTTTGGGTTTTTCTTCTAAAATTAAGTCAGTTTGCTCCTGTGTCAAAATCTTCAAGCTCCACTCTGGTGGATGAGGCAGGAGGATGAGAGGGTCACTGTGAGTTCCAGGGCAGCCTGGGCTGCAGAGTGAGTTCAAGATCAGCCTGAACTGCATAGTGAAACCCTGTCTCGAAAAGACCAACTTGCTTACCCCCCAAAACAAAAAACTTCAAACTCAAAATACTGAAAGATTTTTGATGGGAATATTACTAAATCTTTTCTGGGACAACTTTTCCTGTGGAGTTCTAGGTAAGCATCTACTAATATATAAATAAAGTAGATGACACATCTAGAGTGTTAGTAATCCGTGAGACTGTTTATTTGTAAATATATTTTTTAGTTTCTGGCTATGTTTATGCCTGCATATGTTTATGCCTGCATAAACGAATGGGATATCTTTATGGTCTGTCAGTGTGGCTTCGATGGGATATGTATGGCCAGCTGCTCTATTCAGCAAAAAGCAAATTTAGCCAATGTTTATCTAATGCCTACAAACACCAATTTCAGTGCTTGTGGAGGGCCCAAGAATGTCCAGACGTGATAAGCGTTTCTCTGAGGGTTGTGGGAGGTTTTATAGGAGAAAATGATACTTGACCTGAACTAAATAGGTGAATTTTTCAAGTGAAAAGATAACAATTCCTTCTAAGTAGAAGAGTTTTTGCAAGAGTATGGAAGGAGTAAAAACAAAACACTTGGTAGGAAATGATGATAGTGTCAATTTGACTCTAGGTGATCTCCCTAAAAGTGAGGGATGGAAGGTGAAAACAGAAAGATTGGTACCAATTGGGGGACCTTATATGCTGAGCATAGGGATCAGATTTTACCTTGTCAGGAGCCTCATCAGGCAAGAGTTCAGGGCGAGTGTGACAATGAGTTTTTTGGTTAAAAAGGCAACAATAGCACAATGGAGGACCGTATCTAAAAGGGAGAGGCTGGTAGGCCAGTGGAGAGGCTCTGGCAGTGAGTGCAATGAGTCAACTCCCTTTCTCCCCAAATCAGCTGATTAAGCTTTTGTAATACAGGATGTTTGAAATATGCACTGAAACATGTTCTGCTAATAAAAAGGGGAATTTGAGGACTGAGTAAGTACCACCCTCATTAGCTTTGTAAGGAATTAAATAGATTTTGGTGGGAATTCTACTACCCTTTGTAATGTGTCAGTGACAGTACAGTTTCTAAACAATTTATTTTCAATAATTAAAAAATGTGTCCATCAAAAGTAACATTGTACCATTTAAAATATTTAAGAGGAATCAAGTGTGAAATCTTTGATTTTTCTTTTAAGGAAGGAAATGCGATGCACAGACTTAGACATTTTTATACCCTGGTATTCCAAAGAAAATGACTGAAAGCTTACTCATGGTGAGTCACAGTAAAATGAAGTGTGTAGTACTAACTTAAGTCAGTATTTATCAGATTTTTAGATGTCAGCCAGCAAATTGTTTTTGTTTGGTATGTTTGTGTGGCGGAAGAGAAGGTCGTCTTTGAAATTTAAAAATAATTTGGTTGTCAAACTTTTAGGTAGAAAAGCATTATAATTGATATTATATTTACTGGGTTTCAAAGAGCATTTTATTTTTTATTTTATTT